TGACGCCTTTTGGATAGCAAATGGCTTAATTGTAAGCAAAATACTTGTGAGCCTCTAGTTCTTTATCGAATACGGAATGAATGAATAATTTAATAAAATGCGAACAAAATTCACTCGAAAACCTACCAAAGTTTATAACTTCCTGGTAATTCTTTCAGAGCTCGCTCATAAACCATATTGATTTGTTTCAATGGTGCCTTGCACTTCTTCTTGTGTTCGATATAACGCACCCAACATCGCAACGAATACGGATTCCGGAGGATGTTCTCTTCGAATCCAATATCCTCATCTTCCTGAAACACTGACCAATAAACGTCGACGAATAACTCCACTTCACAACTCATTTGCGAACACCTCTCACAATAGATGAAGCGACTGAATCGCCATGAAGAACTCAAAACATAATCCGAAAAAAATAATGAAAATTGAAATGTGGAAACAGACATTCCGGATCACTACAGCATAATTTTGACATAAATGAATAAAAAAGTTTGAAAAGTTGAAATTCGATAGAATTATACCAGATGAACTGAAGTCGTTTTTGTTGCTGATGCCGAGTCAGGCGTGTTCTCAGCTACTATTCCGCTCTTAGCACCAGACGTCACCGACTGCTGTTGGCCTGAAGATGTGGTGGTCGATGGAGCCGATGTGTTCGCCTCGATTGGTTCCAGAATTGGCATTTTTAAGCCTGAAGTGGAAATTTTTACTTTTTCCTTAAAATAATTTCCAATTGAATTTGACCGAATCGCTCGCTCCAAATTGAACGATTTCACGCGCTTTTTCAAAAAACAAACTTGCCTAATAAAACCTTGCCTAATTGCTAAACCATCATCTCTATAAACTATCAAGACTACTAATGATCTATTCATCAAAAGAAACCAGTATCAAATACTGACAATTAAATCTAAAAAATTCTGCCCATTAATCAAATATCAATTGACAACACTCAAGATTCTCTAGAATGAAATCATATCCTCCAAACTACTATGAAATCGCTTCATCCGCCACAATGATGCATCAATCTAAATCGCTCATTCTCACTTGAGGGATTTCACTTGACCAGTACGATTGGCCCAAATTCTTCAACGAAATCAATATCTAACGAATAAACTTTTGTTCTAGGAAGATAATCAATCATACGATTCGAACTGAATATTAACAGTTACTTGAAATCATTCCATCAAGTACTGAAT